TCATACTGTGTATGGTTGTGTGTGTGACAAATACAATTTGAGTTATTATAATACATTGGAAGCAACTGGGAATGACAGCAGCTCAGCCATGAAGTGGGAGGCCACAGAAAATTACAGAGTGGGGTCAGTGGATGCTGGGAGCGCATGGTCCGCAGAGGTCGCCGACTTTCTACAGAGTCAGTCGCTAACGAACTCCAAACTTCATGTGGCTTCAGATCAGCTCAAGAACAGTGCATAGTCATGTGATGAGCAGCTGCATCCAAGCCTTACATCATATGCTGACTGCCACTGGACTCTAGAGCAGTAGAGACGGATTATGGTGTGGAGTCGTTTCTCAGGAGTTGGTTCCATACAACTTCATGCTCCCAGCTTTGTGGCAACAGACTGTGCACCAGTGCACCAAGCAAGGTCCATAAAGACATAGACAAGCGAGTTTGGTGTGGAAGAACTTGCCTGCAAAGTCCTGATCTCAACCTGATAGAAGGCTTTTGGATGAATTAGGGTGAATACTGACAGCCAGGCCTTCTCCTCCAGCATCATTGTCATAAATACGCTTCTGGAAGAATGGTCAGAATTCCCATAAACACTTCTCAACCCTGTGGAAAGACTTCCCAGAAGTGTTAAAGTTGTTATAGCTGTAAATGGTATGCTGATATCATATGAAACCCTGTGGATTAATAATGGGATGTCACTGAAGCTCATGCGCGTGTGTAGGCAAAACATTTAACAAATGCATCCTTCACAGTTTCAGTTGTGTTTTTAATTGTGCTTCACTGGGGCATACTTTCTATTTATTTAAATATTTAGCAATATCACCTCAAAATATTTCATTAGTGTCAGAAATAAAATTTTCTGCTCTTTGTTTTGATATATATGCTGTGGGTACAGTATTGTGTTCATTCATCATTCCTTTATATTTTGCCTCCAAGTAGCCAGACTTTCTTGAGGAACAGATCTCCAGGCCAACAACAACAACAACAAAAAACAACAACACCAACAACCAACAACAACATTTGAAAAGGTCTCAAGATGCTTTTTGAACTCAATACAAGGTTTGGAGTTTAAAGAAATATTTCAGGAGCATTCTGAATGTTTTGTCTTTTGCAGTATTTATTTTGGATGTATGTGGATTAGCATTTTTTTGCCGAGTTTTTGTTCCTTGTTTGCTTTTAGTGCGTGTTTCATGCTATATTTTTCTTTTGATTGTTTCTTTTCTTACCTTGAAAAATATTTTGAGCTTTTACACCATGACTATTTCTGTTTTACTGCACAGGCATTTTTCACAGTACAAATGACAACAATAAATGTCTGATTTTATGGTTTTGCATTTACAGTCTACAGGCAGCAAAACCTGGAATTTGTGATGTCTTATGAAACAGGCCAGACTACATTTTACATTTCACCTTTGTCCAATATATATTTGACCCCCTGTTAAAGTAATTAGATGCCCAGTGAACACTGGAAGGATTGATGATGAAGTCCTGCTTTGTACCATCCATTCAGGGCTTTCATTACCTCATAAGAGGATGTAAACCAGCGAGGCGGCTCGACAAACTGCTGACCTGTGGATTCATTTAAGAAAGCTGTTTGAGCAGCTTCACATTTTAATCACAGAGTCCAACCTGTAGTCCCTCAGATGTTGGTGCCTTTACTTTCCTCCACACTTCTTTAATGCAGTGAAACATGAGAAAACCATCTGTTCTCAGTTTATAAAACACAGCTGAGATCTGGTTAACTATATCTTTTCCCTAAGAGTTAGAAACCACAATGAGAGGAAAAGCAGGAATTTTAAAGGACAAATGTGATTTCGCTGTATAAAGGAAATTAGTAAATATAGATTTATCTATACATGCAGAAGCAAAGCTGGAAAAGAGGAGCATGCTCAGCAAACACACACGTCTCCCAGGACAAACAAAGCCTGTAAATAAGCTGGAGAGACACCAGAAAATGAGCAAAGTATTGATCCAAATCTGCAATGGGACACAAAAAAAGCTGCTACTTAAAATGTAACAAATTTGCTTCCACTGCAGAAATAAATGATCAAACTCTCGCTGAAAGAAACCTCTAGTTATATAAATTTCTGCTAAGGCTGCAAGTGAAGTTATAATCAGCTGATTGTCATTAGAGGTTAGCAGGTTAAGAGATTAATGTAGGTTTTTCCTCAACATATTAATACAGTAAGCAAGACTATCTAAATGGGAAGATGTTTCCACCGAGAGAAACTCTCAAAGGTGACCTTTCCTGCTCATTTCCAGCTCCGTGTGTTTAGGTTTCAGGGACATTTAATATGATCACCGACTACTGTAACAGTAAATATATGACAGAAAATAAGGGTGACGTGATAGTTTCATCTCCAGACAATGAAACCGGGAACAGAAGAGGTGTATGTACTTAGTATTGGCAGAAGAAATCTGGTAAATGCATCATATGAAAATTTGCTGTTCAATAATAAAACATTCACAGAAACGTATGTCTTTGAGAGTAAAATAAAACTTCACAGTTTAGTTCACAAATTTCATTATTATTTTTATCATTTCTGAAACGAATAATGACATGACTCTATTAGCAAAGCTTGACTGCTTGACAGAGCAGTGTGTGCATTTGATCACTAGGGGTCAGTGTTGTGCAGATGAAACTGCAAAGAGACTGAGGTAATATCCTGGCTTTTACAGTGACGAGGGGAATGTGGTTAATGACGTAATGGTGCCGTTTACTTGTTTTTAAACAAGATTACAAATGTTTTTAAAAGTTGCAATTAATTCTCAATGTTAAGTAAAAATTTACATAATTATAGATTTACATTTGTCTTTAGTAGCTAAAGTTGAAAAGTGATACTGCAGAAAAATATGTTCATCCATCCATCCATCCATCCATCCATTCATTCATTCTAATCCAGATCAGCCTGATGCTGCTGGAGCCTGTCACAGGGTGAGAGGCGGAGTACACCCTGGACAGCTGGCCAGTCTATCACAGGATTATTATACATTATTTAATCATTTTTATTGAGTTCTGCTTCACTGATGTTGCTGGTTGAGGTCAAGCTATCATAATGTAATTTACCCTGTTGTGTAGTTTAATCTGTAGCAGCACAGGAAATTCTGATGAGATCATCATATACATGGAAACTAATAACTTGCTGCTGAACCATGAGTTTACATGGTTCATGGAATATTTCACTCTTATCATATCAACATATCAACTAAATATGATTTTACGTGGAATCAAATATGATCAATCAGTATATACTAGAAAAGATCTGTAATTGACAGTATGTTGCATTTACATTTTCTGAAGTAAAACCATTAACTTTATGTTTGTATAGTCAAAAATGTTAGATTTTTTTTATATATAAACCCAGTTACTAGTTTAACAAACTGGTTTATTTGCATAGTAAAAAAAATTTTCACATTATGAATGGACTGAAAATACAAAATATTGCATAAATTACAAAGTAAAATTCAACAGTACTTTTCTCTTATTTTAACTGGATTAATTACTTGGACAGTATTTGAACTTATTATTGGGTAACATTGTTGTTTATACAGATTTAAACATCTTTATTAAATATAAAAAGAAATCTGTAAAAACAGACATTTTTCATGTAACTTAAAAATATCTGTATTTTAATTTACATGATTTTATTTTTTTTAAATACAACAAAAAATTGATTATTATTGTACATTTCGGGGGATTAATTATTCTTTGAGCTTTTTTGTATCACAGATGTGATATAAAAGCTTAATTTGTTTTTTAAAAGTCTCTGTCTTCAGATGGCAACATAGCAAAATCAGGGCTTTCAGTGGCAGATTAATGAATATGGTTGTTTATACAGTTCTGATTCATCTTAATGCCAAACAGAGACACCTTCTCTGGGTCGTTCTCGCTGCACTGCGGTGCTGCTCGGCATCACTGGGGTGTTTTTTTTTCTGGACGGTAAGCATACTGTTGCAGTCCCCTTTAACAAACTCGTGAGCAGCTCTGAACCAGCTGTGATGGAAATGGTGAATTCACAGATCCCCAGAGTATGCAGATGTGTTATTCTGGGATAAGGTGAGGATGTTCTGTTTCAGACAAAGCTTGTCTGGGCTGTTCTCACTGCAATGCGGTGCTGAAGCTCAGCAGAGAAAAACAGTTCTTCTTTGTGAATGTTTAGCAAACATTTGCTTTAGCTGCTCTAAATTACCCTGAACTATCCCTCTGTTGCCCTGAAGCTTCTTATGGATGATCACCTCCACCTGCAGACTGTCACATATCTGCACTCCTCACTGTGCAGCTAGCTCTCTCCTATCTCTCCGCCCACCTTCCTCGCTTTCCTCATCTCCTACAGGAGCAACAGCTGCAACGCGATGACTTGTCCCTGAACTTATACTGAGGAATGATGTCGCTCCAACTTTGCCTGGCACAGAAAGTCAAATTGCATCCAAGTATCTGTTCTCAAGGCTGTAGTCCCACCTATCCATCACCACCTCTGCATCACACAGGGCCCAATAGGAGCCTGGCGCTGTATCAGCAAGTTTTGTTCCCGTCTCTCCTGGTGAATCATCAACCAACCCCATTTGCCACAGTTTTATTTACTAAAGTTAAGATAAAACCTACCATATGACCTCATAGTGAGGTTGTTTGTCCCTGTTATTGATTGAATTGTCTCTGTTTTATCAGAATTTACTGCATATTCTACATATTAATGCATGTACGTATGTGTGCCTGCATTGCTTGGACATGGTAGATTAAAAAAACAAAACAAAACTAGCCACCCCCCAAAAATATATTTGACAACAGCATGGTAAAACTGGAATTTCTGTTTTTGGTGTGGGACCCCAGTATTTTTTGTTGGCCTTTTTTGAAAAATTTTTGGGGTTGCTTTTGCTTGGGCTTCCTTCGTTCCGGCAATTTTGCGGTTTGGTTCCTTTTTTAAAACAGACTGTTTTATACCACTGTGTTTAGTCACTGTAACATTAAAACACACTCTACTGCCATGAGATCAATACATTTCTTCTAAAAATTGTATTTTTTTTGTTTGTTTCTCTTGTTGTAACCTTACATTAACTCTCAAGATATAAACTTAGACAATTCTCTTATGGAAAGCATCTTGAAGTGGTTAGCAAAGGGGTTTACTGAAAGGTTCAAATTCCCAGGTTGGCTGAGACCTTTCTGGAGGTTTGGAGTTTAGATGTTCTCCCTGTGCTCTCGTGGGATCTCTTCTGTTACTCCAGCTTCCTCAAACAGTCCAAAGGCATGCATGTTAGGTTAGCTGGTGATTTTAAAGCAGCTGGATGTAAGGTATATGGAGAGTGCAGAGCAAATCTTTGTCATGCCAAGAAGAAGCCGTATGTGAACATATCATTGTGTTACAGCAGCGGGATAAAGAATAAAAATAGTGCAGTCTACCGGTGGGCGGTAATGTTTACCAACCACAAAGAAGACAAAAAAAGCCGAAGAAGAGTCGTCTCCCGGTAGCCCGTCGCTAACTCGGTTTCCATGGAGATTGGTTTCAGTTTCCCGGATGTTCCAGTTTCCTCTGTTCAACATGGCGTCGGGAAAGTAAGACTTCGGCTAATATCACACAGTTTGCCCTGAAGTTAGTCCGCTCCCGCCCTTCTGATTTTTGGAGAGTTTCCAAGTACGTCGCGGGGTCGGCAGAAAAGGTTTTCCTGGGACATCCCTGGTAAGTATCCCCGCGTGGCTCTGACTTCGGTTACCGGACCGTGCTGTGGGTTAGCTTGTGGCGCGTCTCCGCTCCCCGCTGAGCCGCTAACGGAGGCTAGCGTTAGCTGCGCTCTGGTCGGTCCGGCCAGTCCGGGTGTGAGGATACCGGAGCAGCCTCCTTGAGTCTGCTCTCCTTGTGTTTGTGTGTTAACTGATGAATCACTCAAAGCGTAGACTAAAGCGAATCGTGTCTGAGCTGTGGGAAAAAAAAATCTGAGGGCCACTTGTGAAAGTTGTTAAACAATTAAAATGTGAAGCTAACTTTAGGTTCAAACTGTCTTCCTTTGCTAAGATCTCATAAGCTCACAGGATGGTTCATTTTTGCACACCCAGGAGACAAACGGGTTCTGGTAACTCTGAGTCTGCTAGTCTGCTTTCCGATAAGTTCAGCTGGTTCCTGATAATCAGGATCACGGTGAACTTCCGTTTTCACCTGTGAAGGAGGACTGAGTTGTTTGTGTGGGCAGGCTAAAGCAGGAAAATAGGATATTAAGCTGCTCCCTCTCTCTCTCTCTCGTGCATGAATGAATTCTCCTTTTTAGTCTCTTTTCCCCCTCCCGCTTCTTTTCCTCTTGGCTGGCGGATGTCATGTTATGGATTGCATTTGTGTTGTGCTTCATGAGTGTGCAGTAAGAGGAAAGGGGGTTTGTGTTTGTAAGGTCGTGCGGTTGGTGCTGGGCACACCATACATTCCTGGGATGCCAGAGAAGCTGTACGAAAGGGTCATTCCTCTCTCTCGCATATGCACCATTCCCAAACAGCAGCGGGAGCATCTACATCATATATGGCAAAATATTCATCAGGAATATTCACGTGTTAAGTTGCGAGATGGGATGCAGCTGCAAGACAGCTGATATCCATCTACTAGTAAGTAAGATAAACAGTTAAGTTTATCTGCTGGAGAGTTCAAAGGCAGTGTAATGAAAAGGTGAAAGTCTTTTAAAAAGATGTTAGTGTTTATAGCACAGAAGTGGGAACAGATAACAAGAAAAGTACATTTAAATAAACTGTGGGTACATGAGGATAGGATTTAGGCCAAAGTCTTTTAACAGTATCAGCTCAGAATTTCACAATCAGTACAGCCATATTGAAAAGTTATATTTTTGTTAGATAGTAGCTAACTGACTAATATCTGTAATTACGACAACAACTACTACAACTATTGTAATTACAACTAATATCTAAATTACAGCATCAACTGAATCTGAAAGAAACAAATGGCAAGTTTACTGGAAAAATTGGACATGTGTGTGTTTTCTTTGAGTGAACAAAAACACAGCATATGTGCTGAATATGAATCTAACAGTGTTGAGATAGCATGGTTTTAAAATACCTTGTTAGGTCCCTGATAATTTTAAAATTATACAAACCAAAGCCCAAAGGGACAGGTGAAAGGAAGTAATTAGCTTTTCTAGCAGAAAATGGTTGAGTTGTGTTTACTTTTTCGGGTTTCCAGAACAGCTTTAATAAAAAGCATCTTCTTCTGTCTGCTGCTAGTTGTAGAAACATTGGAATTGTCTGCTCTGTGGTGAAAAACGAGGAGCCAACTGAGGTAATCAAACAGGAAAAACAGGCTGGCAGGTTAAACAGTCATCCTCACTGACATGATATGTGGACCAGATAAACCAAATCCACGCAGGTCATAGAAGCAGCAGACAACCAACAAGTGGAAAAATAAACGACTTTGTGTGGCAGACAAGGGGCATATAGAGAGTCTGTTGGGAAAGGAGCATAAAGTGTATGCTGCTGTTTGGTTTTTGTTTGTTTTTCCTTAAAGTAGGATATCAGTATTATACTTTATTATCATCCTGAAAGGAGGCTCTAGTTGGCTCTCCCTGCAGAGTAAAAGAGGGGGTTTTGTGGTACCCTGGAGGTTTCTCAAAAAGCCTTTATCCCAGTATAAATAATCAAAACTGGTCCCAAAAGATGCCGCTTAGTGTTTATTCTGCTTGCTGGCAGGAAACTTATAATACTACCTGGCAGGATAAATACATTTAACAACACTTTTTTACTTTAATTTTACTACTTCATAATAATTTCCTTTGGCTAACACAACAATAAACCACAATGTCTGCGGGTAGAAGTCTGTTGGGAACCATTGCTGCATCCATTTCTCTTTCATTTCCTGCCTTCAGTGCCTGCTGGCACTATGTAACAGGGCCAAACCTAAGAGAGCCCTGCCAGTTTCAGTCACTGACTAGCAGTTTCACTGGCTGAAATGAAACCTGTTCCTGAATTTATTCCCAAGACCATATGATTTATCGAAGTGCTGTGACTCATTACTGATGATGATTGAAATGATGACACAGATCTTTGGGGGGACAAAACAAAACTAGAACTTTTGGCCTATGGGTTAGAAATGTGTCTGGAGAAGGAAGAATAAACCGACGTATAGTAAAGCATGATCATGGCTCAATGATGTCAGAGACTTCTTTGATTCCTCAGGTAATGCAAAAGCCTACAAAGTATAACAGGCAACATGTAGTAAGTAAAATATCAGAAATCCTGGAAGAAAATGTAATGCTGTCAGTGAGGAATCATTGATGGACCTTTCAGTAGTAGTACAGTGACCCAAGCATACCTCAGAATATTGGCTTTGGGTTTCAGAAGAAGATAGATAGTGTCTGTCTGAACCATTAATATGGAGAAGCTGTGGTGGGACTTGACTAAGGTAGTTAGAAAGAAGAGTACTTATAGTTACACACTTTGAGGTGCTGTTTTATGCAAAGTTTACTGGACAAAGCTAGACAAACTTCTTCCATAATAAAGGCCCATTTGGCAGCTATTTCAGTGTGCAATGTAGGCTTTGGTGATAAACCTGCTGGACATTGAATTTATGCCAACAAACCTAATACACAATGGGGCTAAAGAGTTTTTGCTTCTAACTGTATTTAGCAGTAAAAAAGAGGCATTCAAAAATATGTCTGATCACTCACTATATGCTACTTTTTTCAAATTCCTCTGCAGTTTCTGTATTTCCTTTGCTCATATTTATAATGCAAGCTGCAGTACCTAAAATCTACTGAGTTTGAAGGATTCACTCCAAGCAGATTTAAGAGTTTTTCTTGATTCCTGGCCAGTTTTTAGGTGAATCACAGCAGAGGAGTCGAGCCATAAAGGTGGAAATGATCAGAAATCACAGATGACTGTTGACAGATGTGTCCAGCAGGAGACAGAGCTGCTGGCAGGAGGGATGTTGTCATTGCTTTGATGCGAACTGACCAGAAGGGCCCGAATGCAGCTGCTGTTCAGGCTTCTTCTGTGAAGTCCAAACAGCTTTCACAGCGATGTACATGGTGATGGCTGGAGGCAAAAGGGCAATAACGGGCAGGAGCATGAGGTGTGTGGGGGATTTGTTATTGAGTAAGAAAATGATGGTATTGGGGGGGGGAAATAAAGAAACAATTTTCTGGTATGGTCTGAGTAAAGGGCAACAGGGTGTCTATTTCAAAAAAGAGATCAGAAAGTTGCAGCCACTATGTTTCCAGGTATGAAACTTTGAAGACATGACGGCTGTCTGGCACATTTGATTACATTTGACTAGTCTGCGATGCACGGTTTTCCTTTTTCACTTAGTTCTGATCTTGTGTGATGACTTGAGGTGGAAAAATGAACTTCTGAGCCTTTGAATAGTTGAATTGTAATCAATTCAAATTTTTAAAATGTAGGAAATTAATTTCCTTCATTTATAAATAACCGTGAAGTTCATTAGTCACCACCACCAACAGCAATTAAAGCCTCTACAACCCCACGTTTTAGTTTGTAATATATGTGTTAATAAAAAAACAACAGTTTTGACCTTTAGTCAACAGAGATAAAAAATAGGATACACTCCTCTTATCTTATAACTAATACTATGGCTCAAGCTCAAATTAGCAGAAGAAATGGTTGCCTAAATGTTTAATTGGGTTAAAACCTTTACCCGATGAAATGTACCATTATAGGCTGAGCTTTATAAGGCCATTGCGGAATATAGTAAGTGGAGTAAGTTCCCCCTGTGAAACCAGAAGCCTATGAGAGTGGGAGGTCTTGACTATTTAGAAGTTCTTTGTTTGTATCCACATGTGAAGTTGCAATTACCTCCATTTTCTTTCTGTCCTGTTTGTGTCGTTGCTTGTTGAGTTGATGCTGTAGTGGAAACATTAAAATCTGACTTTTCTCATGGGGCCTGATCGCACAGATAAAACTGTGTGTGAGAGAGGAATCAGAGTTTAGTGAGTAAAAAGAGGGAGAAAAGAGGGGGGGTATTTGTGGAGATGTGAGCTGCAGAGGTAACGGTAAACCAGATTTAGCTGCAGGCTAACAGCCAAATTACCAGATCT